CATAATTCAAAAGTCTAGAGTATGACTTCTCTGACTGACAGGGTTATCTCTTCCATCGATACAGCACCTTAATCAATGCGCCATATCGTGTGCGATCCTTTTCCTTCTACCCTAGCTCAGCATCGGGCTGATCTATCATTTGGAAATACTCAACTCCCGCGCCCTTCAGGACTTATGAACGTGCGCAGCTCTCTAGTCTGCTATTGGAAGAGGAAGAAGATCAATAAACATGACTGAATTCGACGTGTATGTCTAGCTAGAAATTCGCGAACGTTAGTACTTCAACCGTAGAACCAGCCGGTCAAAGATAATCCAGTTTACACTGTGGCTGCCCTGAGTTACTTTAGCCGATGAACAAATTTTGAAAATCGTTTCATTCTTCCTCCAGATTTTAGCAGCGACCACCGTAGCAGTTACTTCATCGACATCCGGCCCTCTGGAGCTGGAGGTGTACAAGAAAATATAGAGTGAACTTCAATTTATTCTGCATATGATGTTTTTAACCCAGTCCCACTATCCATAGTTCATTCCGACAATATGCAACATAATTAATATTTTGTCTTCAGTTTCAACAATGTTTATTTATTATAAAATCATCTTTTTTATTTCTTACCACATCATCATTCGGGGTGGTAGGTCTTCGAGAAAAAAATACATAAGCACACGTTTAAGAGAGCATGCTATATAATATAAAATATATATAATAATATAATATTAAATATAATATAAATTATCATATTATATTATATAATATATAATATATATAATATATATATAATATATATTAATAATATATATTATATTAATATAATATATAAATATAATATATAATTATAAAATATATATAATATATCATAATATATATATAATATATAAGCTATAATATAAATATAATATATATATATAAACATATAATATATATCTATAATTTTCTCTACATCTGATTCCTTTCCCTTCCTGACACTATTTTACCTTGGTTTCAAAATTATGCACTCAAATACTATTTTGTTTTGACTGTTTATCCCTGAAATTCATAATCTTAAGCAAAATTTTAATTCCTATTTTAATTTCAAATCAAAATTCACAGATATGACTTCTTTACTGACATTTTATCTCTCTTCCATTCTATACCATTCCTAATCAATGGTCGTGTGGATTGTTCTTTCGTCCCTTTTCCTTCAACCTTACTATGGCTCAGTCATTGTGAGTCATGTGATCTTATTGAGTTAAATAGGCATCAACGGGTCCCTCCCCTCCAGGGACCTTATGCTGCTCTAGGTCTTTTCCTATTTTTAAGAGGAAAACAAAACATGACTGGATATGGGACTTATGTTGTACTAGTAACCCTGCTGGAACGGGTTATACTTACTTCACCGTACAATCCACGGAATAGATAAGCCAATTTGACATGGTGGCTGGCCCTGATTTGGCCGGATGAACAAATTTTGAAATGCAGTGTTCATGTTACAATCGCAGATTTGGCACGGATCACCAAGGTTCGAGTCTACTTGATCGGATCCGAGCCGCTCTCTGAGCTGGGGAGTGTACAATATTCTATCACCGCCTTCTTCAGGCAGTCGCGTGCTCGGACAAGAAGAATTACGGGAGTGAGCTTCACGGAGAGCCTCGGTCACGCGTTCGAGCGGACGCAATGCTTCTGTGGGGACAGGGCACCTTGCGCCATGGCAGTCGTTACTCCACGCCCGACAGCTCGAGCTGAGATAGGCGGGCACTCCGGGACGCTGTGCCCACGGCGAGCGACGCGTCAAGTTCCCCGT